TCCAGACGCTCCAAGTCAAGCGAGGGTAGGTTATAGGCTGGCCAGGGAGCAGGGAAATCAAAGGTCAGGAGGCCCAACTTGCCGATTCTAGACCCTCTAGAAACCAGAGAAAGCACCCGGGAGTCATGTGATGTGTAAGGAAGACAGCATCCCATCAACCGCCAATTAAACGAGCAACTGTTTCTTCAGCATCTACTGACGAGGCACTGTGCTTGGGCAGCCACTGACGGAGATTTCAAAAAGCCGTTTGGCGATAAATACCACTGTGCTGCGTATTCAGAGGTGATGTCACCAGAGGAGGTGCTGGCGGGGGCGCGGGGGGAGGAGTGGGTGAGGGCGCTCAAAAGGTACCAACTATCAGATAAGTAAGTGCTGGGGATGAAGTGTACAACGTGATAAATACAATCAACACTGCTCTGCGCTGTGGATGAAAGTCGTTGGGAGAGTAAACCTAAGCGTTCTCATCACAAGGAAAGCAAATTTTCTATTCCTTTTGTTTTGTATTTAAAAGAGATGATGAGTGTTCGCTAAACTTAACGATAATCACGTCATGATACGTGTAAATGGAATCATTTTGCTGAATACCTTCAACTTACACAGTGCAGTACGGCAATCCTATCTCAATAAAACTGGAAGAAAAAAACAAAGAGTTTTCTTCCTCCATTTGCCACTGAAACCTTTCTTTCTTTTTTCTTTCTTTTTTTTTTCTTCTTTGCTTTTAGTGACAATGATCTTCTTCATCCTCCAATTCTCCCTAAAAACCCTGCAAATAAGATTTCTCTATACCAGAGACTGGCGGCACTGTTCAAATCAAGGAAGGGGAGGTGGGAGGCTGGGAGAGGGGTGGAAAGAAAGGCTTTTTACTGCTAACCATTTGCATCTTTTGAATTTTGAAACATGTGCATATTTGAAAATAAGTAAACAATATTTTTAAATTAAATTAAATTAAATGCTGCTTAGCTGGTTAAAATGTCCAAACAGTACAATGCATATTTTTTAGGATCTCTTTGGGAAAATGTGTATTGATTTTTCTCAAATTTATAGGATCCAGATAGTATAGTCAATGTTATCATCCAGTCTCTAATCCTATGAAAGGCAATTATAAATATTTTTATTCTATTTTACATAATATGTATTATATACATCACACACATAATTGTTAAAACACGGGGCATTCCATTATATCATGTAATAGAGCTGAATAAATTCATTTTATCCAGATTCCTGTGATATTATAAATGAGCCAGCAAGAATGCCCTAAGATCTGAAGATGTTTGGGGTTTTTCCAATCCTTATGTCAAAAAGGCTTTCTCCTGAGCCTGGGCAGAGAGCCGGGCTGTATTGGGGAAATGGACTCACTTCAATCCGAAGCTGTGCACAGGCTTGTCCAGTCATAACCAGATAACTCTGACCAAGTTACCCGCTTCCTCCGCTAAAAAACCAAGCAGCACAATATAACCACAGTAATCTGAAAAGACTAATTAATAAGCAGCGGGATTCTCTCAGATGGGGGGTGAAAACCATCAAAGCGTTGATTTTATTTGGTTTTCTCTTCCTTTTCCAGGTGAAAGAAAAGATGCCAGTGTGTTTTCTCAGATACATGTCTCCTGACAGGGGAGCTGGTGCGCATTCTGCGGCTGGAGGTGAGTAGAGCCCCTAACCCGAGGACGACTGGGTCACCCAGGACTGTGCGCGCGTTTGGAACACTCCTGGAGACCTGCAGGTCAAACGGATTTCCTGTATCTGAAAGCGTGACAGTAAAATACACAAGAAATCCACTTGCAATACTCTATTAAGAGTCTATTATAATCCGGCTTGGACTCAGCCTTCTGTCCCTCGTCCTCCGCTCTAGGGCACCTGCTGTCCCGGCAGGAAGGAGGCATGAGGCAGGTGAAGGATGATCCATGGGGCTTCTCCACGGTCATCAGGGCTGCTCACCTGCCTGGATGTTGGAGGCACTTGGGGAGCAGGTAAAGAACGACCCAGGCCCCAGACCCAGCTCCAGAACCAGCACATCAAACTCCCTGAGCGTGAGGCTCCGGGGGCTTCCTGGTCTAAGAGTCACTGGCTTACATGAAGAGTCACTCCAAAATCTGATTAGTCAAAGGTAAAACCACTTCTGAATGCAAGGACCATCTTAAGAAAGGGTTACGATACTAGTTATTGGGCTGCGAGGCGTGGTCCCAAGGTAGGCAGGTGTGTGTGTGTGTGTGTGTGTGTGTGTGAGTGTGTTTTGTACAATAACGTGTTTCCTAATGTGATTGTTCTTTTGTCTCTCTGCCTGTGTTCACAAAATCACTTGAGCAGATGAAAACCTGGGGCCACCTAGACACGGAAAAGCATCTAGCAAAGAAGTAGAGATGCGACTCCCCACTAGGGAACGCTTTTGTTGCCTACATGCCAATGACCTTGCCCGCATGAAGAATGCAAGCTCCCATCTAAAACCTTGGCCAACCCTCCCCGCGTTGGCTGAAAGATTCTACTCCGGGCCAGGAAGCGTTTTCTGTTCCCCACAGCAACCAGTTGGCAAAGACTTTGCTCACACCCACAGAGTCTCCCTCTCAGGTCCCGTGGCCAGGAGCTTTCTGGGCACCCTGAGCAAAACGTCTCCTCCCAGGCGACCTCGTCTCCAGACTGCGCATCTATATGCTCTGCACATGTATGTATTTTGGCAGGGGAGAGATTTCCTTCCAGATTCCCTTTGAGGATGCATTCAAAGTGCTGACTGCAGGCAAAGCCGTAATGACCTGTGGACAGTGGCATACGCAGGCAGCCTGTGTGTTTTTTCCACCTCGCGTGAAACACGGTGGAGCATCTTTGGGTCTGGGGAAGAGGAGGCGGGTGGAGAACTGAGGAATGTCTTCATTTCCTTCCCTGTCGTTAAGCCCCTCCGGAGCCTGGGCTTTGTCAGCTCCAGGCAGACTCCCATCTCCAGCATGAGGCCAGCCTGCTTTGATTTCGCTTCGTTTGGGATCTAACTCAACCTTGTTATATGCCAAATACCCTCCAGGGTGTCCTACTTTCCTGGATCTTCTCCTGTGTCAGGGCTCCCGGTAGCTGCTTCTTTCTGTCCTTTAGGAGAACAGCACCCCCCGCCGCCACCCCAGCCCTTCCCGGAGAGAGGACTCCAGGCTGCTTCGCCTGCTATTTAAAATCCTGGGCAAATGCATTTGGCGATGTTAAGTGAAGATTGTGAAAACGTGAATAACTGTGACAAAATTATACCAGCCAGGTTTGAAAATAAATGGAGCATGCTCTGAATTTGATTGAAAGAAGAAAAAAAAAAGAATTCAAAAATCATTTGGAAATTGGGCTGGAAAAAAAAATCTTTTCTCTGCCCTTGGCCAGATTTCCCTTTGTTCCTTTCTTCCTTTCCTGTCCAAATCCAACTTATTTCTACTTCCAGTGATTTCTCAAGTCTGAGATATGAATAGAGGTGGAAACAGGTTTGCTTTGAGAAACCAAAAATATTCCAAACCGTACAGGCTCCAGAAAAAATTACAGTGCACTGGAATTTCATGGGCTCTGGCGTTAGACCTAGGATTAGATTCCTTCCCCACCCCCCAACCCAGGGAATATCTCTTTGGCGTCATGATCTACTCAAGCAGATTCCCCCGTATATTTTGGTGGTTGTTATAGGCACTGTACTTACTTTTTTTTAAGTTGAGCTATAGTTGATGTACAATATTATATGTTACAAATGTGCAACATAGTAATTCACGATGTTAAAAGCTTATGCTCCATTTAAAGTTATTATAAAATATTGGCTGTGTTCCCTGTGTTGTACAGCATACACTTGTAGCTCATTTGTTTTATACCTAGTAGTTTGTATCTTTTAATCACCACCCCCGATCTTGCCTCTTGTCCTCCCTTCTCCCCCACTGGTAACCTCTAGTTTGTTCTCTATGTCCGTGAATCTGTTTCCTTTCTGTTCTATTCACCAGCTTATTTTATTTTTTAGATTCCACATATAAGTGGTAGCATACAGTATTTGCCTTTGTCTGGCTTATTTCACTTAGCATAATGCCCTCCAAGTCCATCCGTGTCATTCCAGGTCAACAATTGCCTATGTCACCTTTCCTACGAGGCTGATACTCAGGTCACGATCAGCTCCATTCTCTTACTCCTTCCGCTGGCACTCTTCGGCCCCCACCCTCCGTGGCATGTCTACTGAAGCAGGGACTGGCACTTGCTTCCTGTTACTCCATCACCTACACTCCGCCTGACACACAGGCATTGACTAAAGCGGGGAGAGAGGGTAGGAGGGAGGGAGAGTGGGAAGGGAAAGTTACGGTTTAATTAACATTAACTGCCTCAACCGGAGTCATTATCTTGTTTCTTTTCTCATTTTTTGCTCTAATTCCAAGGTCCCAAGGGGAAAGAGTGAATCAAAAGTAAGATCGAATACTTTATTGCTCAAAATAAATGTATTTCTAAAAGAGAGTCTACAGATATAAAAATAGATGCTTCATTATCCATACGCATGTGAACTATAAAAGTCAGAATTCTGTTTAAACTCCACCATAAATAAAGATTGAGTAAATACGTAGACAACTGTACCACTTTTTAAAAAAAAAACTGCATTTTAGAAGAATAATCAATTGCATGGAGAAATTTTCACAACGTATCTTTAAGTGAAAAAAAAAAACCAGATTGTACAACAAAATGTAGAGTAGATCCCAATTTTCTATGTATGCTACACACATGTAGGTATAGAACAGAATAAAAGGGTACATCCCAGAATGTTAGTAATAGTTATTTCTGGGGAGTGAATGGCAAGTGATTTTATTTTATCTTTAAACCTTTGTACATCTTCCCCAAATTCATGCAAAATTTACATGCATTAAATTTATAATCAAAAGGGAAACTATTACAAGAAAATAAAAGCCATATGAATACTAGAACGAGGAAGAAGTGATTTAAGAGAATCTCTGCGTGCAAGTCAAGATTCCCAGAATGCGATGCTTAGTACCAGATGCCGTCAAGGCAGGAAGGGTTGGTATAATTACTGTTTTCCAGACCAAGATTCCGAGAAACTTCCATTGCTGGGTGAGTGATTTCTGATTCCTCTAGACAACAAACCAGGCTCTTGGTTTTACTGTCCATGTTGCAAACAAAGCTGACCATGATTTAGGGAAGGCATATGACTTTACGCTCACGACCTTCTGCAAACTGCGGTGCCACCACAGCTAGCTGTGTTGTTGCTATTGTCTGCGTATTTGTGTGTTTGTGAGGGTTTACAAACACAGACCCACACAGAGACAGGAAGCCGTTAAAATAGCGACCTCACTGTATGGAAGCCCCAGGAAGGCGGGCCTCTGTGTATACCCTGATAACATCTGCTTCTAATTGAGATGATTTATCAAAGTGGCCATCAGCAGGACGGGTCAGCAAGCGCATAAATCTAGCACAAGCACTTTCAGCTCTGAGTCTGCAAACAGAAAGTCTGGTCTTGTTCCTGACGTGAAGTAGCCGGCTGGCTGAGCCCATGGAAATCAATTAATCTCTCAATAACTCAGTCTCTCCACCTGCAAAGTGGAATGAATATGAGATGCTGATCGCCCATTTGTACCTCTGCTCACACAGGCACTTCTGTTCCACTCATTTATTCTTCCAATAACCACAGACTGAGGGCCTCCAACAGTAATTAATCCTCCAGCATTAATCCTCCAGGCCCCCTGTACTTTACATTCCTCTGTCCCCACAGACAGGCTGCCTGAGGACTTCTGGGGCCCCATCAGCCCAGTGCTCACACTGTCTGTCCCTAAGGCCACCAAGGTGGAAATGGAGGAGGAAAGGCAAGCACAGGAGAAAAGCCCTGTACATGCCTGACTCTTGCCAGGTGTGTTATAACGTGACGGATGACCGCAGTTAGGTACAACACAGTTGGTTCTGCACATACCACCACCAAAGAAGCTGAGAATTATGTGACCATCAGGGTGGTCGTACCTGGAGATGATTAAAGTCTTTCTTTTCGTTCTGCATCTGTTTGTTTGTTTTACTTCATTTGTTTTGGCTGTGTTACTAGGACCTACTGAAGGTCAAAAGCAAATACACGGCAAATAAAAAGATGACCCCACAAGTGGCAGCTGGCTCAAAAGAGGGTTGATGTGGCTTCTTTTCAAAAATGTTAGAAATGCTTGCCTGGTCTCACCAGCAGGAGAAGAGAAGGCTCACTCACTGTCCTCGGGAAGTTCACCGCACAAGGAGATGCTGACATCATTGCTTCTCCCTGAGCAATAAGGCATCTGCGGACACTGTGCCCGTGACTTAATAGCTCAAAGGAAGCCTGGCTTTCAGATTTTTTTTTTTAAATCAATTCTGGGATCTCTGAATTCTTTCTAACAGAGCTGGGGTTGCCATATGCGCTCTGAGTCACAGGCTCAGCTTGGCCAGAGCCCTTTCCTCGTAAACAACGTGGAAGTCTGGTACCAGTTCAAGGGGCACACCTGCCCAGGTGCAAGGTGGAGGAAGCTGCGTCTCCAGGATGTGTCTGAAATGAGTAGGATGGTGGCTTCTTTGAAGTTTGTCTCATTTTTCACATTCTTCTTTTTTGGATGAATCCAATCCAAGCAGACAATTTCCAAGCTTTAATTTTAAGCAGGGAGGACTGTTCTCAAATGTCTCCCTACATAAAGGGACTGGAACAGAGGGGGAAGGGCAACATGCACATGTGTCGTGGAGACCAGTCCCCATCAGCACGGAAGACTTGCTGTCATGCTACAGGCAGAATGATGGGAAGCAAAAATGGGTCACTCCCCGATGGCAGCCAGCCTTCATTTTTATACAAAGAGGACTGATGTAAGAGTTAGACTAGCACATAATAGTCTACACTCCTACAAAACAAGACATCTACATCCATACTCAAACAGCATTGTTCACCATAGCCAAAAGGTAGAAGCAACCCAAGGGTCCATCAACAGATAGATGGATAAATACAATGTGGTATAGATGTGCTGTGGAATGTTATTCAGTCCTGAAAAGGCAGGGCATTCTTTTTTTAATTTATTATTTCAGTTTTTTTTTTCAGTTGAAGTATAGTCAGTTTACAATGTTGTGTCGATTTCTGGTGTACAGCATAATATTTCAGTTATACATATACATATATATATTCCTTTTCAGATTCTTTTTTGTTTTCATTATAGATTACTACAAGATATTGAATATAGTTCCCTATGCTATACAATAGAAACTTGTTGTTTATCTATTTTATATATAGTAGTTAGTATCTGCAAATCTTGAACTCCCAATTTATGCCTTCCCACTCCCTTTCTCCCCTAATAACCATAACTTTGTTTTCTATGTCGGTGAATCTGTTTCTGCTTTGTAAATAAGTCCATTTGTGTCTTTTTTTTTAAGATTCCACATATAAGCGATAACATATGGTATTTTCTGTCTCTCTTTCTGGCTCGCTTCACTTAGAATGACAATCTCCAGGTCCACCCACGGTAAGGCAGGACATTTCTAACCCATGCTATGACATGGATGAATCTTGAGGACATTATGCTAAGTAAATAAGCCAGTCACAAGAGGGCAAATACTATACAATTCCACTTATATACAGACACCTAGAGGATTTAAATTCATAAAGGCCGAAAGTAGAGCAGTGGTTGCCAGGGGAGGGGAGAATGTGGAGTTACTGTTTAACGGGAACAGAGTTTCAGTTGGTAAATATAAAAAAGTACTGGAGATGGATGATTGTGACAGTTGTACCACAACGTGAATGCACTTAATGCCACAGAATTGAACTCCTTAAATTAGTTAAAACAGTCCATTTTATCTTATATACATTTACCACAGTAAAAAAGGTTTGATATTCATAGACAATCTTTACCAAAAGTTAGAGTAATAAATTCTTTTGACCATGAAGACTTCTGTGAACAAAGACAATCGTGTGCTGCCTGAAGGGATGATGTGTTTATATCCATTCATCTGCCTGCTTACGTACAGCGAGGGAAAGGGGTAAAATGACTGACCGGGACGACAGGTGACGTCTCTAGCCACAGAGGAAAAAGGAATTCTTTTCTCCTGCAAGCCTGAAGCCGTCTCATGCACCTGAAGCCTGAATCTCTGATCTTGGCTGGCTCCCTGCACCATGTTCTACTGCTATTCAACCACCACTAATCATCAAGCAGCACTGACTGAGTACCCACAGTATACAAGACACCAGCTAAATCATAATGGAAATTATAAACAGATGTGCAATACAATCCCTGCCTTCTGAGACATAACAAGAGTCCTTGAGACAATGAGAGACAAATGAAATGATAAATACCAATAAAGGATAACATTTGATAAGCCCAAATCAACAAAGCAGCCCCGAGAA